GTGAAATCGATGCTGTTGATGTCGTCGACGGCGTCGGGCCAATGGAGACGTAGGCGGGCCTTGAGTGCATCACCTGGGGTGGCGTTGAAAATCACCCTCTTCATCGCGTGGTAGGCGGTGCGCTGCAAGCCGGAGGAGAGCCCTCGAAGAGGACTGTGCGAGCATGGGCCGTGCAGCGCCCGACGGAGGCCGATGGCGCCGGACATCAGAACCCGACGGCGCCCGGCGGCGGAGCCCGACGGCGGGGCCCGACGGAGCCCGACGGCGCCCGACGGCTGAAAGACCAAGGACGACAGAACGGCATTGATTGCAGCGTTCATTGCCTCGTGGAGTTGTTTGGAGGTGCCGATCGCCTGCTTGGTGGTAACACGCTCGAGGGTCCAGGCTATGGCCGGAGATTTCCAATGCTTTGCCCAAGGCTCCTCACGTGCTAAATTCCCAACGCCGCGCTCGAGAGCAGCCTCGTAGTCGGCACCGCGCAGGAGGTCCAGCGGGGTCTTCCAATCGATGGTGAGGCAGGCTGCTCTGATCAGAGCAGAGACGCAAGCGACGGAGGCCGAGGTAACTTCGACCGCTCCAAACTGCGAGGCGTGCGCCATACCGCGCACTGTAAACGTGGACGGTGGGACGTGCCAGAGCTTGTTGATGATGGCGCTCTCAGCTTGGAGGATCGTGCGGGGAGGGAGGGAGAACTGGGCAACGTACAACAACGTGGGGATCGCTTTGGTGTTGTACTCCTTGATCGTCACTGTGGTGGAGCCCTTCGCGAGCGCTAAGGCATCGGCGCGTTGCTGCCACTTCTGCACTGGAGGGCCCCACATGTCGTCAACGACGTTGGGGGCCATGGCGTAGCCAAGGTAGGTGGCGATCTTCACGACGCCGAAATCAACCCAGCCGGGGACAATAGCCATCAAAGCGTCGCGTATCACCTCAACCACGTGGCAGGAGAATGCCGCGTAGAGCGGAATCAGTACGCATATCTTGAGCTTCAGGCGGAGGCCTGCGCAAGACTGCATGAAGGCGAAGGTGACGGAGTACTCCCGGAGGGTGCTCAAGTGGAGGATGGCCGCGCCGACGTCGTCGGCGTAGATTCGCGTGGCGCCTAATCCTGGCAAGTCCACTGTGTGCTTCATGCGTTCGGCGAGAGGGTGTGGAGACGGCGTGCACGAAGCCGCTCAGAGGGCAGCCCTGGAGCGACCCCCCCTCGAAGAAGAAAGCAAAAACGCACATGATGAAGGCCATATTCATGTGGTAGATCATCTGGATGCAGGAGAGAATCCCGCTGGGCATCCCCAGTGCACGGAAGGAAGCCCAGATCCAGCTGTGCTGCAGGCTGGGGAACCTCAGTGGATCGTAGCACAAAGGCTACTCTCAGAACTTACACTACCTGGATTCGGTCAAGTCGTCTGCAAAAAAAATAGCACTTCCAAAGTTGGAAAGTAAGATTAAGCACAAAACCTTTCACGGTAATAGTGTTCGTATGCAACAGGGCCGAGACCTAATGCTTGTCATGTAGCAATGGAAAGGTGGACAACACTGCTTAGCCAGCATGGATTCCGACTTAGAGGCGTTCAGTCGTAATCCAACAGATGGTAGCTTCGCGGTAGTAGCTTTTCAGCTAGCCGCATGTACCGTTTTTACCATGATGATGATGCTGTTGAGGATGTTGATGATGGTGGTGATGATGATGATGCTGATGCTGATGCAAATGCTGATGATGTTGTTGATGATGATGGTGATGATGGTTATGGCGATGCTGCTGCTGTTGCTGATGGTAATGCTGCTTATGATAATGGTGATGATGGTGGTGATGATGATAATCACAATGATAATGGTAATGGTACTGATGATGCTGCTGCTGCCAATGATGATGACGATGATGATGGTAATCCCACCAGCCCTCTGGGCGTCGGTGGTTTAGAGCGCTTCCTCTTCCACCCCTCCTTGTTCCCCTTCGGGGAGGGGTTTACCCCTCCCCCTACCCCCTCCCCATGGACCTGGACAAAGGGGTTTCGCGAGGTGTCGGAGCGTCCAAAACGGCCTCGGCGAGGAAGCCAAAATCACTGGTTTTACTAAAGTTTTGGCCCCATTTTGGCCTCCTGAGGGGGGGACTCTAATTAAACACCCCCTCCGGTGATCGATCTCACCCAAGATGGCCCAAAGATAGCCCCCAAGGCTCCCAAGAGGGCTCCAAGAGGTGGCCAGGAAGCCCCAAGAGGCCCCCAGGAGGCCCCCAGGAGGCCCCCAAGAGGCTCCCAAGAGACCTCCAAGAGACCTCCAAGAGGCCCCCAGAGGCCCCCCAGAGGCACCCAAGACGCTCCAAGAGGCCTCGGCGACAATACCCAAATCGCTGATTTTACTAAAGTTTTGGCCGCATGTTGGCCTCCTGGGGGGGGCACTGCTTCAGATGACTCCAAGAGCGCCTGGGAGAGCCAAATATGATCTCCAATATGTCTCAAGATACCCCAAGATGCCTCAAGATGGCGCCCACGATGCTCCAAGAGGCCCCAAGACCGCTCCAAGACGGCTCCAAGTGGCCAACGAGCTCCCCCAGGAGGCCCCGAGGAGGCCAAAATCCTTCCAAAACCATGGGAAAATCAATGTTTTTGGCTTTCCCGCTGAGGCCTCAAGATGGCTCCAAGATGGCCCAAGAGGGCTCCAAGAGCGCTCGCAAGGCTCCCAAGAGCGCTTCAAGAGGGCCCCAAGAGGCGTCCAGGAGGCCCCAGGAGGCCCCAACAGGCGCCCAAGAGGCCTCCAAGAGGCTCCCAAGAGACCCCCAAGAGGCCCTAAGGAGCTCTCCGAGGCACCCAAAACGCTCTAAGAGGCGTCCGGGACCGCCAAGAGGTCCCCAAGACGCTTCAAGAAGCCTCCACTGGGGGACCCTTCCTCTGTGTGCTGCCCGCTTCCCTGATCGAGGCAATTCCTCTGGGCATCGTTTCTGGATGGGCTGATGGGAATTCGCGAGGCGTCAACAATTATGATTATTGTTAGTTTAACTATACTTATTCGTATTTTGCTTATCACTATTCGGGTGCTGATGATGTGCTGATGGTGACAAATATAATGAAGGTGAGGATGATGATGGCGCTGATGATGGGCAGGTGGGAGAGGGAGGCAGGAAGGAAGGACGCGGGGCGATACGTATTCAAGACCCCGAACGAAGTGATCCCCACCCTCCCCTCAGAACTCGTGGGGGGTAGGGGTATGGTTCACATGTGGCCCCCTAGGTTGGGAACGATGGATCCGCGCCCCGAGCTTCCAAGACGGCCGATGCAGGCAACAAAGGACACCATGATGGCCCAAGATGACTCGAAGGCGGCCCAAGATTGCCCCAATGCGGCCTCATCTGGCCTCAAGACGGCCCAAGATGCCTTCAAGAGGGCCTACACGGATCACAAAAGGACCTCCATCAAGATACGCATAATCCAGCACCAGTGGTTCCCCGTGCGATATTGAATGAATTTACCAATCTCGTCTGTTCGTGCTTCCGTCAGCTCAAGACGGCCCAGGAAGCCCCCACGATGGCTGAAGAGGCTCCCACCAAGAAGACCCTACGATGGCTGAAACGGTATCCAAAACGGCTCAGAGGGCCTCCCGTGGGACCCAAGATAGCCTTAAAGACGCTCCAGCAGCCCAAGACGGCGCCGAGACGGCCAACAGGAACCCACAGTACTGCCAGAAGGCCCCATGGCGGCCCAAGGGAGCCCTGAGACGGCGCAAGCGGGCCCCAAGACGGAGTAAATAGGCCCCAAGACGGCCCAAGAGAGCACGAATGGACCTCCAAAACTGTCTCACAGAAGGCCAAGGCAGCCCCAACACGGCCCAAACCAGTTGCACGAGATCTTCTCGGATTGAGAAAACGAAAGGTGTCACGTGTGACGGCCGTCCTCTTCCTCCTCCTACTTATCCTCCTCCTCATCGGCAGCATCACCATTATCATCACCGGCAACATTACCATACTCAGCATCAGTTCCAGCATCAGCACCAAGATCAATCATCAGCATCCTCATGCTCATGATCATCCTCATCCTCACCCCCCTCCTCCTCCTCCTCATCATCATCATCATCAGCATCATCACCATCATTACTAATATGATTATTCGTATGATTACCAGTGCTCGTAGCATCATCATCATCATTCCCATCCTCATTTCCATCCTCATCCTCACCCTCATCATCCTCACCCTCATCATCAGCAGCATCAGCATCACATAATCATTTGCGATCGTCGTCATCCTCATCATCACCATCACCACCACCATCATCATCATCATCATCATCATCATCATCATCATCAGCATCATCATCGTCGTCATCATCATCAGCATCAGCATGAGCAACAGCAGCATCATCATGCTCATCATCGCAATCATTATCAGCATCAGCATCAGCATTCGTATCAGCATCATCATTATCACCATCATCGTCAGCATCAGCATAAGCAGCATCAGCATCGTCATCGCCATCATCAACATCTTCATCATCACCATCATATTCATGATCATACTCATATTCATCATTAGCATCATCACCATCACCATCATCGTCATCATCTACATCGTCGTCATCATCATCATCATCATCATCATCATCATCATCATCATCATCATCATCTTCATCTTCATCATCAACATCATCATGTCCATCATCCTCGTACGCCTCGTCATCCTCATCACGGCTCTCCCGAGCCTAGAGACACCCCAGACTGCTGGTATGGCGCGGTGGCGGGACTTGCCATAAGCAGCCGGATATGGGAGTGGCAAGAACCATGTCAAATGTGTGTGAACGTTCGCGTGGAAGAGAAGGTGTGAACCGGGTGAAAGAAATGGCGAACATAACTTGGCTGTGTGCACGGTCCACGGCGATTCCCACAGTCCTCACGTACGACATCATCAACTGCGGTTTCGTGCCAGCTTGGATGCGGACGCCAAGAGAACCTGGAAAAGACAGGCTACAGGCAACAGTTGAATCCGTGGCGAGATAAAGGCTAAGGCCCCCGCCACAAAGTCGTTGCCTGAGCGAAGACACTGGTTCACTGCAGAATGCAACACCTCAGACGTGTACACATTGATGCCAGCGATCATGTCCTGAGGAAACACCGTTCAATCGTTGGAACCCAGTCCCTTTCTCCGCTGAAGCCCACGGAGAGCACAATCTACCATTATAGGATCAAGACCGCCACGGCGCCTCCTCTCTAGGGTATCTGACTCTCTTAATACATTTGGCAGGCCACACGAACAAAACAGTCTGTCCCTCCACACGCTTTCCCTTACAGCGTCCTTGGCTAATCGCGTCGTGTGTGTGTGTGTGCGTGTCTCTGGTTCGAATCGTGTACACTCAATTTGCACGTCGTTTAAAGATGTGTCTCGATGAGCGTTGTGTTCAGAGCGTCGTTTGCATCCGATGAGGACCCCAATGCAAAAGTGAATAATGTTGCGATATCGATTTCATGTTGCGTCCGTATTTGGGCCGCATGTGCTGATAGGACATGATTGGTTTACACAACCATTCCTGAACCGTTATACGCCTTCTTCTGACACATACATCCGCATATGACCTAGAACGATGGATGATACGTAACTGCCGATGCCTGCTATCACATGGTGTATGTATAACGTTGTTGTGTTTGTCGCCACAACCGTGTCGCTACAATGATCCCAACCAGCCCTTGGTTACGTGCGGTTGTACTCCAGACTGGTTGGAACAGTGGTTTGCAAAAGGGCATAAGGCTGAACCAACTCGTGTGCGACATGTCGTTCCAAGTCGACGTTCATATGTCCCCCCATCGATCGTATATGGCCCCTCTTGCCCAATCGTGGCCCCGATGCTGTCATACCCACGCGCGCAGCAGACCTCGTGTCAATTGACCAATTGCTTGACAACACTGCGCAAAAGGATTAGCTGTATTCACGCTGTTCCTCGTGAGCTCCACAAGCCGTACTTGGAGTGAGCATGTTTTTCACATACATCGGGAATAATTGAATCTCGCTGCTGGCAAGTTCCAAACAAAAAAAACGCTTCGGCCATAGTCGCAGCTGTCCCCGGTTCTGTTGCTCGACTTGTGCTGCCGCCAACACTTACGTGCCCTTGTTCGGCCGTGTCCACGACTGTCCCACGCCCTGGCGCTTGCCTCCCGCTGCCGGCGGCGTGCCGCTAATTCAATTCTCTCTGCGTGCTCGCCTCCCCTCCCCCTGGCTATCGCCAACTAAAATTTTCTTTCTGTGACCCCGTCCCCGTCTGGCATTGGCCCTGCTGCTTGCCCTTCGCTGCCGCCTGCTTCCTTCGTGGCTCGGCCCGTTCCCCGTCAATCCGCGGCACTTGCCCTCCGCTGACATGGGCCTGGCCCTGTCCAAGATAGCCCCCGGCCCTCGCACTCGCCCCCCCCCCTCCGCCAGCCTCCTTGCTCCAGCCCTGTCCCCACCACTTCGGTCCATGGTGCTTGACCCAGTCCTGGCATGAGCGCTCTGCTGCAATCATTCCTCTTGGCTCGGGCATGCTCCCGACTGACGCGGCCCTGACGATTGCCCTGTCTCAGGCTGTACAAGTGCCTGCCCTCCGCTGTGCCGCCAATCTGCTCTGGTTCGTCCCCAGACCGCCCCCCTGCGCTGGTTATTGCCCCCCGCTTTCGCCAGCTTGCCTGGTTCGACCCTGTCCCCGGCTGGCCACACCACCTGTCGCCTGTCGCATTGATTCCCAATCCGCGTTTGCGCTGAAAGTGTCTTCGTAGAGACTGCAGGATTTCGCAAAAAGCCTGGGCCGATTTCGGTAGGTCACTGGGTTCCCGGGTCCTTGCTCCGGGTTCAAGGGTTCCCGTCTCTGGGTTCGGGACCGATTTCGTTGGGCGGCCGCTTAGATGAACTTTGGTTTTATGTAGTTCGGCGACGCATAACAAAAATACAACTACGCACATAGACGCGCTCGACGTTGTTATAGCATACATGCAATCACCGTCATCCACTAAAAATGCCGTTCACCCACTTATACACGTTCAACCACTTGTAAGCGCCATCTCAATTTATACACGGCTACCACGTTCCTAATACGAGTAAAGCTGTTATGACTTCGTACAAGAACGTGGGCTTATTTCGTTGAGTAGACTTAACCCAAGATGAAGAAAACGCAGCGCGAACACTTGCACCGATTTAGCGTGTAGTATGTATTTGAAGAGTCGTGTGGAACAACCCTCAATCTTTTAGCATGTATTACATAATTTAGGCGGGTTTAGCAACAGATGGGCGGCGTTGCGATGGGTGTTGGAAACAGCACAAACGTTGAAAATGTTACGTTTAGCAGGCCTGAACATGAGCACGGCGGAAACATGTAACATGGTGCTTTGGCCCCACAGCCCTGGACATTGAGCAAAACAACAAGCATGCTAAACATAAGCTGTCGGCACCGCAGCCGTGTACATGATAAAAGACCTCATATGTATTATACCGTGGTTCGGCCCCGCATGCCCCTACACTGCATTGTCCGAGATGTCTCAATGTCCGTTGCGTCCCGGGCGTCTTCCTGCATTTCTGGTTATCTAAATCGCAATAAGGAGTCGTAGTTTGCTTGTGCCGCGATTGATGTTTGCATGTTTGCTCTTTGTTGGTTGTCCTATGCGCATGGGCATCTCAAGACGAATAATGATAACAATGAGGCGCGATGTGTTCCGAGACGGAGGAGGGGAGGGGGTATATACAGTTTTTGGGAGGGAAGATGGGGCAATAATGATGGTACTATTGATGACGACGATGATGCTCTGGACGATGGCCAAGGCGAAGAAAATGAGCTGAGCCCCTGGCGCGAACGCCGATCTGCAGCTTGCGCGCGTTTCGTTGTCTCGTGCGACGGCGTTGAGATGCAGCTCGCGTCGTTGACAATGTGCAGCTGCAGCTGTTCAGGCAACTAAAACTGTGAGGAAAAACACGCCCGAATCGAAACGGGCTAACATGTATAAAGGGGTTGTGCCCTGCCCGCTCGGCGGCGGGTCGCTGAAGTTTTGAAGAGCTGCGGGTCCTCGTTTTGAGGAGACGGCGCCCCGCGTGACCCCTTCCTCGTCCTCCTTCCTCCTCCCCTTTTCCTCGTCCTTGCCCCATTATTTGCCTCTGCCCTCCGCATGCCGTCATCGCCATCATCAGCATCGCCGCCACCAGTCAATTTTGTCACACCCTTCACACGGATCGTGGCCCTATAAAGAGCTCCACCGAAAGCCCGCCAATTACGGCGCACCGCTCGAACGGTTCGTGCCCCAGAGGCAGCTCTCCCAAAGGCCCCAAAGGAGACGATCGCATGCGTCTCCCCCGCCCATTACGGCACATCTCTCACACGGCTTGCGGCCCCGTAGGGAGCTCCGCCTAAGGCCCCAGTGGCGACGTTCGCATGCGTCTCCCCCACCCATTATGGCGCACCACTCGCACGGTTCGTGGCCCCACAGGGAGCGCCACCTGAGGCCCCAATGGCAACGTTCACCTGCGTCTGCTCCGCCCATTACGGCACAGCCCTCACGCGGTTCGCGGCCGCGCAGGGAGCTCCACCGAAGGTCCCAGTGGCGAGGTTCACATGCGTCTCCAACGTCCATGTCGGCACACCCCTCACATTGTCCGTGGCACTGTAGGAGCTCCACAGAAGGCCTCTGCGGCCACGTTCGCATCGCATGGCACCACCGCGCCCATGTCGCAGCGGCTGCGCTCGCGCGCAGTTCCGCCCTCCATTCCGGCACCCCTCACACCCCATAAGGAGCTCCACCGAAAGCGGTACCCACAACGCGGTAGTCATAAAGGCATATCGCCGCGCTGTCACAACATATGCACTGCATTTGGGTAACATTAGCATAACACAACACGTTATCCGCCTCATACTACACAGCCCGGTATAGCATAACCAGTCAGAACACGCTGTGCAATGAACCTGTGCACCAAGATTTACGTTCGAGTTCCACAGACACTGCTGCTCTTCACATTCCGTGTGGGAACCCCATAGCCAAGCACTAAGTGGGAATCCTCTTTCGCGATAAACATGGCAACGCATACGTACACTCTGGACGCCGTGCTAAACCTTGGTTAGCGCGCCAACAGACTATGGGGCATTGTCGGCGACCGCATGCCTCCTACCACAAGAACGCATCAAGCACCGACAGATCATAGAGACGGAGAGACACAATAGAAACCAGCCTATACGGAGCTGGCGCTCCTGTCTGTTATTACCATCTCATTCACACCACACCCTCTAAAAATCCTTCCAGATCCTTTCCTTCAACCCTTTCTCCGTCTTGTTTCGTCTGCACCTCGGCTCGCTAGCTTTATCGCCCTCTCCTCCTCATTACACCTCGCTCGTCTCTTTTCAATTCCACTCACCTCTGTTTCTGCCCCTATCTCTGATAGCATCCCCCGCTCATTATACTCGGTTCAAACCATATCTTTCCTCTCGTCTCGCCTGCTCTCTTCTCTTGTTCCCGCTTCGTTCTTATATGTTATCCTCTCTTGCCCTTCCCCTCTCCTATACACATATCCCCCTCCCCTGCAAATGCTATATTCAACCCCCGCCGCCGCAAGCGCGAGTTTGAGTGTCCTCAGGTTCCTTCGAGCTTTCTGTCCTGAATACTGCGTTCTCTAAGGGGCCCACACGCCCACGTCCCGGAGTTCCTGGGGCAACTGGCGTGCCTTTTGTGCGTGGCGCGTGCCCCCCTGGCCTCCCGCATGACTTGTCCGAAGGCCTGTGGTCTCCAAGACGGGCCAAGAGCACTCCAAGAGGTCAACTTTACTTCCCAGCTACATGCCAACATGTATGACCACAAGTTTCAAAGCTCGACTCCACCTTAACCAATTGTGTTGCGCACTCCTGCGGCATCTCGATGCCTTGACACTCCATGACCAGGTAAGAGTTTGCCGGCAATGCTGTGTCACTTACTCTCCTCGTCGTTAGCTGGATCAACTTTTCGCGCCGAGTCTGGCCGCACTAACGCGGCCCCTCGTGTGCCTGTCGCATCGCCAGGGAAACTTCATGTACTACTGGGCCCCCGCGCCCCATACGTCCACACAATTCCTGCCCCTTGCCTCGCAGTCTCCCCCTCGCATCGTCTCCTCTGTCAGGCCATAAGGGTCGGGGCCCTGCGTGGAGACCCTGTTGCGTGCGAACTGCAAGGCGTCGACCACGGTCCCCTGCAATCCGCCCAGCACGTGAAAGAGGCTCGCCTGGCCGGGTCTGGGAGGCAAAGGTGCAGGAGGCACCTCATTACGCTGAAGGCCTAGCCAAGAGATGAGGCAGGTCATAGGTGCCCACGTGACATGGCATGATTCACCATGATTGCTCCCTCATCACGCCACTCAGGTTGAGCGCTGGGACATCCTGCTGCATCATGTGCCATGCGGGCTAAACACGCCGAAGCATCATAACCCTTCAGACAAGCATCATAACAGAGCCCACCAGTCTTCTGGGCATAAGCGATATCCGACGCCGTGCCCCCTGGCACGGTGGGGCGTGCTAGAATGCCAAGTGCTGCTTGATAGTGTTTCTGTAATCGTCCAGGGCCCCCCCCCTCTACTCACACTGGCCCGCATGCATCACCCCCGTCCGAGGTCCGAATCCCCCGCAGAATACGATCCCTGAGGCCACAATTCAGCAACAAATGCAACAGACTCGCGCTCCCGAAGCCAAGATTCCTCCAAGGCGGCCCAAGATGGCTCCAAGACGGCGCACTGTGACCCATAGACGGCCCAAGATGGCCTCAAGGCAGCCCAAGAGGCCTTCGAGACGTCCCTAGAGAGACACAAGAGCGTTCCCAAGAGGGCCTCGAGGGGCAAACATACATGATGTTCATGTGGTTGTTCAATGTTTTTTCGGGTTCTCGCCTTCGCGAGCTTTTCGACGTCGCAAGGCGGCCCAAGAGGCCCCCTAGAGAACCCCAAGACGGCCAACACGGCCCCCAAGAGGGCCCCAAAACTGCAAAAGAGTGCTCCAACACGGCCCAAGATGTGCCCAAGACTTCCAAGAGGGCCCCAAAACGGCTCCAAGAAGGGCCGAAGAGGGCCAAGACGGCGCGAGAGGACCCCCAGGGCCCCCCAAGGCTGCCTCAGAAGAGGCCTAGGCAGCCACAAGACGGCCCAAACGAGCACTCCCATCCTCACCCTCATCCTCATCTTCCTCCTCCTCCTCCTCCTCCTCCTCCTCCTCCTCCTCCTCATCATCATCATCATCATCATCATCATCATCATCATCATCATCAGCATCATCATCATCATCATCACCACCATCGTCATCATCACCACCTCCAGCAACATCATCATCATCATCATCATCATCATCATCAGCATCATCAGCAGCATCACCATCATCATCATCATCACCATCACCATCACCATCATCATCAGCATCAGCATCATCATCATTATAACCATTATCATCATCATCATCATCATCAGCATCATCATCAGCATCATCAGCCTCATCATCAGCATCATCACCACCATCATCAGCATCATCATCATCATCATCATCATCATCATCTCAAGCAGCATCATGATCATTATCATCAGCAGCATCCTCCTCATCATCATCACCAGCATCGTCATCGTCATCGTCTTCATCAGCAGCAGCATAATCAGCACCATCGTCATCATCATCATCATGCTCAGCATCATCATCATCATCATCATCATCATCATCATCATCAGTATCATCATCATCACCACCATCATCAGCATCACCGCCACCATCATCATAATCATCATACCCAGCATCGCCAGCATCAGCATCATCATCATCACTATAAGCATCAGTATCATCGGCATCATCATCGTCAGTTTCATCAGCACCATCGTCGTCAACATCATCATCATCATCATCATCATCATCATCATCAGCATCATCATCATCATCATCGTTATCATCATCATCATCATCATCATCATCATCATCATCCCTATCACCATTATCAGAATCATCACCATCATCACCAGCATCACCAGCATCATCAACGTTATCATCAATATTAGCATCATCCCCACCATCATGATCATCAGAAGCATCCTCAGCATTATCATCAGTATAAGTATCAGCAACACGATCAGCATCATCATCATCAACATCATCATCCGCCACATTTTGGCCCAAGCTGATGCAACAGCCGACGACTGCGAGTCGCCCGGTGGAGCTTCGAGCACGAGGCGTTGCGTTTGAGCCAAAGTCCATTCCATATTCAGAGAGGCCCTCGTGGCCACGGTTCTTCCCCATCAGGTGCGCGGCGCCACGTCGGCGGCGGCGGCGGCGGAGGCCACAGCGCTCGCGGCAGCGACACCGCGGGCGGCCAGAGCCAGAGGGGCAGCAACGGCAAGGGCTCGTGGAACTGTCAGCTGCGCGGGCGCAAGGGAACCACAAGTGCACGTCGTTCAGTTCTAATCGTGCTCAGGTCTGATTGTGCTTGTTTCTAACTGTTCCTGGCCCCCCAGTGGCCAGGAAGAGGCCCAGGATAGAACAATTAGAAATGAAATGATCTTGGCCCCCAAAAGTCAAAGAACTCGAAGAACTAGGAATGAACAACGTGCAGTCGTTCTGCAGGAAGTACGGGGCATGGGCTGCGAGCTGGCCCCCCCTCGGAGGAGGCTCCTCCGCACGTGCTTTCCCCGAGCGAGGGCGGCCAGGGCCTCTGGTGCGTGCGGGCCCGCGGCACGAGAGAGGCGAGGGATCGCGCCAAGGTGCAGAAGCTGCTGGAGGAGCAGGCGGCTAAGGAGGAGGAGGAGGAGGAGGAGGAAGACGAGGAGGAGGGGGGTGAGGAGGAGGAGGCAGCGGAAGAGGACTTCGTGGCCCTCAGAGGACCCACGAGCGGCAGCGAGGAGGCGGCCGTCGCGCAGAAGTGGTCCAAGTCGAGCCCCCAGCCCGAGTCGCTGACCTCAGGAAGCAGATCGACACCCGCAGGCGGGAGCTGGACGCGCTGGCCAACATTGAAGGAGCGGAGGAGCTGGCATGCATCAAGCGCGCGGCCATCGAGAAGCTGGAGGAGCAGCTGGCCGCCAGCCAGTCGCTGTCTGAAGTACCAGAGGACTCAAGCGGAATCTCAATCAGAACACAAAAGGCTACGAGCGCTACACCAACGAGGCCAAGGAGCACCAGGCAGGTCTCGCCTCCCTCGTCGGGCCCATGGACGCGATCGCGAAGCAGCTCCACCAGTCCATCGCGGAGGCCAAAAGCTGGGAGAGCGAAACCGACGTCGACAGCGAACTCGACGCGGTGCTGGAGGACCTCGTGGGCACGGACAACAGCGCTGGGAAGCTGCTGCTGGGGAGCAGGGGGGCGAGAGCGTGGGCGCCGCCCGCGCCACCCCAGGAGGGACTGCCGGCAGCGGAGCAGCTCGGCGCGCACGCTCTCGTGGAGATCGGGACCGAACTGCGGCCAAGACAACCGCTCTTTCTCAAGCTTAAGGCCACCCACGCGGGGAAGCTAGTGCGGAAGGCCGTGGGCAACGCCGCCAAAGGAGGCCACGGCGGGTAGCCAGAATGACACCACATCGTGCGGGCCCTTGGAGTCGGAGGGGTCAAGCGAAGAGGACGCCATCAGCTGGGGCAGCTGGAATGGTAGCTCCGAGTGGCCCGAGCCCGACGCACTGGACCCACTCGGAAGACACTCTGGGCGCGAAGCCTGCGGAGCCGAGGCCCATTACGTGACACAGGTGTACGCCAAGGACACGAGCTCCAGAGGTATCTGCGGGGAGGGGGGGGCGCGGCGTGGTTCTGAACATTGGCGAGCAGGGCTGGCTGATTCTTTTGCTTGGCCCAGCCTGGCGCTACAACACTTGTATGCCGTCATTGCGCTAAAGGTAGCGATCGCTAAGTAAAATGAGACTTCGTCACGGATGTATACGACCCCTATTATGCAGGGGGGGTACACGATCCCTTCAACAATGCCCGCGACGACCCCCTGGCGCGCGTAATTAAAGAAATGTTTCGCGCCCCTCGAAATCTGTTCATCAGCGACCGAAGGGGGAAGGGCGGGGCCTCATTGGTTAATCACATGCTGACATCAAGACGACAGCGACGACGGAGGTACCTCCTCCTCATCCTGCTCCTCCTCCCCCTCCTCCAACAACGACGACGACGACGACGACGGCGGCAACAACGACGGCTTCGACGACGCCGACAGTGCCTACGGCAGCGTCGACGGACTCCCGGCGAGGGCCCTCGGCCCTCGGCGGCGAGCGGCGACCACGACGACTGCGGCGGCGATGGCTGCGACGACGACGACGACGACGACGACGACGACGGCGATGATCACGACCACGACCACGACGACCACAACGGCGGCGACAACGACGACGACGACGGCGACGACGCCGACGACGACGACGACGACGGCGGCGGCGGCCGGGCCGTCGAGTCCAGCAGCGGCGCCACCGGCAGGCCGAAGAGGCCCTTCAGCGACGGCACCGCCCCGGGCACCTCGTCCACGTCCATGATGCGGAGCGCCTGGCGGGCCTCCTCCTCCTTCATCATACTCATAAGCAGCATCATTATCATCAGCATCGTCATCAGCATCATCAGCATCATCACCGTCACCATCCCACTCCTCCTCCTCCTCCTCCTCCTCCTCCTCCTCCGCCTCAAGGGTAATCTCATGAGCCGACATGGCAACAAACCTCCTCCTCCTCCTCCTCCTCGTTTTCCTTTTCCTCCTTCTCGTCTTTCTCGTGCTCATCCTTGTCGTTTTCCTCCTGCTCCTCCTGCGCAACCGAAAACGCGTCCATACTCGCGAACGCCTGCGCCAACGCGCTGGGCAGCACCACCGCCTGGTCCGCGTCCACTAGCTCCGCCTTGTCGCGGGCGAGCTGGCGAAAGTGGCACAGCCACGCACTGCCCCGCCGGCCGCCCGTCTCCAGGGCTTGCGGCACCAGCGGCCAGGGGTAGCGCCCCTGGCGCCGCGCAGCCGCTGCCAGCCCGTCGGCGCCCACGGGCACGGCATGCCCGGCCGTCGCGTCCATGAGGAGCCGTGGGCAGCCAGCCCGCTGCGCCTCACAGTCGAGGATCACTTCCTCGCGCCAGGCTGTCAGCAGCTGGCCGCAAGCGCTGCAGGGCCCTGGCTGCGCGAAGGCTGTGCCGCGCGTGTCGCAGCGGGAGCTGGGGATATCAAAAGGCACACGGATACCGCTACTCCCCGGACCTCTCCCAGGGTGCGTCTGGCCAGGATTTCGAAGCGAATCCAGCGGTGGCGACGAGGGCAGCCCGGGAGGCCCAAAAAGGGGAAAACCAGGGAAGGATAGAGGTATGGGTACCCTTTGCTCCTCTGGGGAGCAGCGCCAGACAGCGGTCCCACGAAGGGACGTCGACCTCACGGGCCGCGTGGATGCCGCCCCCAGCGTGAATGCGCCCCCACACGTCCTCGACGTCCCTGCTGCGGGCTTCGACGCCCTCGCCGCAAAAACATCGGAAGGCGTGGGGCCCCAGCCTGCAGAGAGCGGATCGCCGCAAAGCCGGCTAGCGCGCGGGCCAGTGAGGGCGCGGCTCTCGCAGAGAGCCCCCGGCGGCGCGAAGCCCTGGCCGAGACGTTCGCGAGACGTGCTGCAGCAGTAGTTTGCGCAGCTGAAGCGCTGCCCTGCGGCCCCGGGCGCGGCCAGCTGCCAACCTCCAGAACGCCCCCCCCCACCCCCCTCCCACAAAAGGCAAGCCTCGCCCTGTCTTTGCTGGCGCATGTGCTCGGCAGGGCCAACCAGTGTTTGCTGACCCAGCCGCCACGCGGACTCCTTTTGCACCTTCGTGCGAGGTTGTTGGACAAGGTCCGCCCAGCTTGGAAAAGTGCCCGCCCCTTCTCCTGGGCCGGCCCCGGGCTGCGGCAGCGGCAGCAGCAAGTGGGCGGCCCGGCAAGCTGCCGCGAAGGGGTGCTGGGCCTGCTGCTCCAGGTCGTCGAACGCCGCCAAGCCAGCGTGGTGAGCGGTAAACTCTAAAAGCGTTCTTGAAATTCTTCGCGATGACGCTCGTTACAGGCCACGACCCCTCAACCCCTGGTAATATCACGATTCGCGCCCGCGCCATCCAAGAGTTCTGGCATCCCTTGACATTCTCGGGCGGAACCGGCGCGAATCGTGACGTTACCGGCCCTCTCCCCCCCCTGGTCACGCCGATATCGCCCCAGGAGAACATTTAGACGCGAAGATTGCCACATGTGCATGTCATTTCCTGACACGTCCCACGGTGAGTGTCTGGCCGTGAGCGTCTGGGAGTGAAAGCGAGTCCGAATGGACGACTCGTGCGACGACGGCGGCGGCGACGGCGGCGGCAACGACGACGACGACGGCGGCGGATACGATGAGGGAGAGCGACGACGACAATTCACAGACAGACAGGCGGTGAGCAGGCCCCCTCCCCCCTCCTTTCTCTTACTGCACGTCCCCCCCCTCCTCGTCCGCACTCCTCCCTTCTCCCCCTGGCGGTTCCCCAACTGAGGTGCTGAAGCGAGCGCATCGCTCGAGACATCCTCACGGTCAGTTCTGAAAGCACCGAAGTCCAAGCCAACAAACCAGCAAACGAGATACCTCACAATCTGGGCACGAACGACCGTGAAATACCCCCTGGGCGGCCCCCCCCTTGGGGTGCTAAAGCCAGCGCCTCGCCCGAGATTTCCTCACAAGTTGAACGTGAGGCGAGCACGAGTATGAGTGGTCTGCGTGGGTGAGTATGAGTGGTCTGCGTGGGTGGGTCTGAGCGTGAGTGAGGCGGAGTGTGGGTGACTCTGAATGTGCATGAGTCTGCGTGTGAGAAGTGAGTTTGAGTGTGAGTGTATATGTGTATGAGTGCATTCGAATATGAGAGCATCGGAAAAGGAGTGAACCTGAGCGTTGAGTCTGAGTATGAGTGAGTCCGAGTGTGAGTCTGACTGCGACTAATTCTGAGTGTGAGCGAGTCTGAGTGTGGGTGAGCCTGAGTGCGAATAAGGAGAGGAAGGAGGAGGTAGGGGACGCGGATGTAATAACAAAAACCCCACACTCAGGATAGAGGGAACAAAACTATCGGTCCAAGAGGCAACGAAGCGACGACGGGCGGCGACTGGCGGAAGCCTAGAGAAGCCAACCAACAAACGCGGGGGTGATGGCGGCGACTGGGCGCAAACCTACGAACCCCAGCCAGCGCGCAAGGCGGTGGCGAGGCGGCGAGGGCGAAAACCCGGCAATGCCAGTCGATCTCAAGAGCACTTTAGGGCGTAGGTGGTTTCGAGCGATTCCTCTTCCAACCCTCTTCTGCCCCTTCGGGGAGGAGTTTATCACTGCTACCGATTAACAACCACACCCTCCCCCAGCCGACCAGCAGCCAACCCTGACCCATGCCAACATCTCCCCCACCATCCCGGTCAACAAAAATACAAATTACAACTTGCCTGTAAATCTGGAGCATACGCGGGCGCCCCGCGACCACTTTGCCTTGGTGTTTGACAGGGGCGGCGGGGGTGCCAGCACAGTGTGTGCTGCGAGCAGGCCAATCATGCCTGTCAATAAACCATACAACATGTGCTTTGCGACGACATCTAGACCATGCGCGGGCGCCCGCGATCCCTGCGGTTGCTGACGACATCCTCTTCGTAGTCTTCCAAGGGGCGCTCTGTTCTCTGAGCTCTCATGTGCCCCACGGCCTCTTCGAATGTCACATTTCTGTTCCTCGGTGCTGGTGCTTTTTGCGCCTTCTGGGGGAGCCGCCATTCTCACAGGAAGTGCGCGGCACTGCACTGCAGGGGGAACCAAGAACATGAGCTGCTCGTGGTCGGGGCCCCAGGCACCTGGGGTCCGCATTGCTTCCCCAATGCTGTCCATCCGATGGCGGCAGTTCAATGGCGCACCTGGCATTAGGTCGAGCATGTCCCCCTAGAAGGCGCATTTGGGACGAAAAATGAAAAATGTTCAAGCATTGTTCAAACATGTTCAAACATTGTTCAAACATTGTCGAACAAATGCTCGAGAAATCGTCCCCATACTATCTTTGAGCTACTTTTGAATACTCCTCCTGTAGAGGGGCACGCCCGACTTGACCCTGGCACACTCCTGCGCGCGCCGTGCGCACAGTGGCACACCCACACACACAGACACACACACACACACACACAGACACACACGCACGCACGCACGCACGCACGCACGCACGCACGCACACACACACACACACACACACACACACACACGCACACACACACACACACACGCACACACACACACACACGCACACACACACACACACACGTGGTGGTGCACGCGGAGCGCGCGAAGTACATCATTGGCGCACCTGGCACGCAGTGGGCCTCGGGGGTGTCCTGGTGCACCTGGAACAGCCCTGTGGTGCACGTGGCATGCGCGGCGCTCCCGTGCGACATGCTGAGGCTCGGCTGCTACTGATGCCCTCCTCCTCATCCTCCTCCTCCTCCTCCTGCCCCAGACCACCGACGTCATGATTTTTTCATGACGCGCCCCCCAGAGGTCCGGACCCCTTCCCCGGAACCGGTTTTTCATCCCGAGTCGTTTTTTGACGGTCCCGAGGCCCGGTAAGGGCCCCCGGGGGCCGAAAATAGCGAAAAACCTCCCGTCGTGATTTTTTCACGACCCGAGGGGGTCTGGGGCTCCTGCTCCTCAACCTCCTGGAGGGCGGGTGGGAGTGAGTCAGACAGCCTGCGCACCGGGAGAGGTGTCTTGGCCGCTCCCCAATCCCCCTCCCCATGGGCCTGGACGGGGCGCCCCGCGGCCCGTCACCACCACCACCACCACTACCATATGTAGGAGAGGAGGAGGAGGAGGAGGAGGAGGAGGAGAAGGAGGAGGACCGTCAGAGCGTCCAGGATGGCCCCAGCGAGAACGCAAACACCATGGATGTTCTGTCTGTTTTCGGACGGACGCTTTTGGCCTCCGGGGAGGGGGGGGGGCAATGCAGTTCGGCCGCCCCCCCCCTCTTTGATCGATGGCCGCCAACATGTTCCCAAGACGGCCCAGAGTGCTCCCAAAAGAGCCCCAGCTGAGAACAGCTCATGAGAACCCGTTAGTGCATGCACCGTTCGGGAAGTAATAGTACCTTCGTGCAAGCACTGTTTGGGGAAAATATCTTCGCCCCAGGGGAGGGGGACGAAAATACCGAAACCAGCACCCCCTGGACCTCTCCCTGGTTCCGTTCTGACCATAAGGCCCGAGACGTATCCAGCCGTTGCGACGGAGAACCCAGGGGGCCCAGCAAAGGGGAAAACTGAAAGAACACATCGGTATATCGCAGCGTTCTCCTCCGACCCCAAATCAATCCCAAGACCCCCCTCCCCCCTGACATCCTGGTCGGTCCTTTGCCCAGTTTTAGGTTGGGCATGTCCTCCTATAGGCGGATTTTGTACGGAAAATAAATAGTCAACACATGCTCAAAAATAGTCAACAAATAATATCAAAATCGCCCCCAGCATTTGCTCCTATGTTTGGATATTCCCCCTGTAGAGGGACATGCCCGACTTAAGCCCAGTCCTGACTCCCATGGCCCTCAAGCGCCCGACGCGGGCCCCCTCGGGGCCAAAGCACCGAGGAAACGCCACCGGCTCGATCTTGCTCGAACCGGCACGACTGTCGTCCTGAAGGGGAGCGTTATGGGGGGTTGCCATAGGTGTCCCCAAGAGAAGATGCCCTTAGGATCGGGGGCCCTCGGAGAGCAAGTCGAGCCAAGAACCGGGATCGGACAAAGACTGCGTCTTCGCAAATGGCGTTGCTCGAATCCGCCGCCCGCGGAGCCCCCCCTCCCCCCTGAGCCGGTCCCCCAAATCAAATCAACGGTAAACTTGGGGGGACCCGCTCAGGGAGAGAAACATCCGCCTGGAAGCGGCGATGCATCGCCGACAGATCGGCGACCTGCGCCCAATAGCGAATCCGCCCACACCCAGGCGGGGTGGCATCTCGGGCCTCGAACGGCGATCAATGGGCAACTGAGTGTCGATGCATCCCCTCCTGAGCTCATCCCAGCCGAAGCGTTGCCCCTGATCCGAACGGCTTTCGGGCCAGAACTCGGGCCGCCGGCGGCCGTTCGAGACCCTGGCACCTCCAAAACGTCCTCGACGAGGCGCAGCTGGTATAGACCACCCCGTGCATCGAAAGACCCCGAACACCTCTGACAGACTGCGCCTGTCCCCCCCTAGCGCTGCCCTTAGCGCCTACTCCGAATGGTTCGCTGGATAGAAACCTAAGAAGGATTGCAAAGGATTGCAATCCTTTTTGTTGCAAAGGATTGCAAAAGAAACCTAAGGTTTTTGTTTGCAATCCTTTTTTGCAATCCTTCGTTTTTTTGCAATCCTTTTTTTGGAGCACCACGGAAACGCACTCCTGCCGAAACTGTGCCTGCATATGTCTCCGTCTCCGTCTCTCTCTCTCTCTCTCTCTCTCTCTCCCTCTACCCCCGCCAGGCCCCCCTCGCCTCCCCCCCCCCACCCCGACCCTCCTCCTCCTCCTCCTCCCCCTCCCCCTCCCCCTCCCCCTCCTCCTCTCCTCCCCTCCCCCTCCCCCTCCCTCCTCCTCCTCCTCCTCCTCCTCTCCTCCTCCTCCTCCTCCTCCTCCTCCTCCTCCTCCTCCTCCTCCTCCTCCTCCTCCTCCTCCTCCTCCTCCCCCTCCCCCTCCTCCTCCTCCTCCCCCTCCTCCTCCTCCTCCTCCCCCTCCTCCTCCTCCTCCTCCTCCTCCTCCTCCTCCTCCTCCTCCTCCTCCTCCTCCTCCACGAGGCGCCGCGCACTCCCGCAGCGCCGCGCGCGAGCCGCCCCCGGCCTGCTGCCTCTGCGGAGCCCTCGCGGCCTCGGGCGTGGCCTGCGGGCGCGCAGGCCAGACAAGCGCGTGCCACTGTGCTCGCAACGCGACTGCTCGCAAATGGCCCGGATCCGCCGCGGGGGATCTGCAATCTTCTTCGTCGAGGAAAGCACCTGTTCTTCGGACGCTTGCGGGCAGGCACTTTGCGTTATGATGTTCTAACATAATTTAGCCTTGATCGCAAGAAAGGACTTCGAGCACCAAGAAGATACCGAAATCTGAGGTTTTCACGTGTAGGGCTCTGGGAGGCGACGATACTTGCTCGACACTGTTTCGATACTGTTCTGGGTGCTCGAACTTATTTCTGGGATGCTGTCCCTGGGTACGATGGGAGCAACATAAGCCAGCAACCCCTCTTGGAAGCAACAGGGTGCGGCCGATCGAAGACGCCCTGCGACTCACCGTTGTTCCCTGTGCTTTGGAACTGCCCACGCGGACAAACGTTGGGCCGAAGTCTGGCCAAACTATTGGACTCTCGATGCGTTCCCGTAGCCGTTGTGAACCTCCTTGGGGGAACACTTGGGAGAGGAAGAGAAAGGAGGAGGGGAGGAGGGAGCATGAGGACCAGGAGGCGGAGGCGGAGGCGGTGGAGGAGGAGGAGGAGGAGGAGGAGGAGGAGCAGTTAGCAGAAACTTTGCGAATCGTGGAGCGCGCTCGGCGACTCCGGCGCAGCGGGCTCACGGCAACCAGGGGCCCAAGCCGTGGCGCGCGAGAGAGGCCGCGGCGGGGCTCCGCGCGCCCCCCCCCCCTCCATCTCGAGGAGAGCAGCAGGTTTAGGTCGGGCGTGCCCCCCTGCAGGGAGATTTTGGACGAACAATTCAAAAATAGTCCAACAAACACCAACAATGGTCGAAAAATACTCAAACATCGTCCCCATCTTATTTTTGTGCCTATCTTTGAATACTCCTCCTGTAGGGGGACGTGCCCGACTGAACACCAGGGAAAGCACGCGTGGCTGGATTTCAGAAGAAGCAGCAGCACGCTGCCACACTCCCTGGGCATGGCCATCCTCGGCCCCGGGGTGATGCGTGTGCGTGTGCGTGTGCATGTGCGTGTGCGCGTGCGCGTGCGTGTTGTGTGTTGTGTGTTGTGTGTTGTGTGTTGTGTGTTGTGTGTTGTGTGTTGTGTGCGTGTTGTGTGTGTATGTGTGTGCGATCTCCTGTCCCCTCTGCTGGAAGGAGGGCCAGTGCACCAGATCGGGGTCCAGGATGGCCGTGGCAAATGATACTGGTGGTGCAACCAGCGATCCGACGCTCCAACAAAAATTGGGGCGGCAGGATTTGGGCTATTTTAGGCGTCAGGAGGCCCTCGCCAGGCCTCGGGACCCTCAAAAAACGACTCGGGATGAAAGACTGGGCCTAGGGAAGTGGCCCAGACCTCTGCGGCCCGCGCACCAACAAAAATTGGAACAACCAGATGTCTGGGTGCAACTGCCCTCTGTGGATGGACACACGGGCGGAATCTGTGGCCGCTTGCTAGATATACCCGGGCTGGACCTGAACATTGCTGTTCGTGTTGTTTTCGATTTGCTTTTCGTTTTGCTCTACCTGTTCTCCTCTACCTTCCCTGCCAAAGCGGAAAATAAAACACAGCCTAAGTCCAGCAAAACAGCGTTTAGGTCCAGCCCTGGAATGTGCATGCGGAGTGTCAGCGTGCCCAGCCACACCACGGCTGTGCGCTCGAGACACACCTGGCGACTGTCCCCTGCTCTCGCCTGCTCTCCCCGGACGGCTGCCCATTGGAGCTCCGCAATATTATCTTGCCCCTTCTTCCGTCCTGTCTCTCCAACTTCCCTGCTGAGCCCCTGTCTCCCCTGCTGTCCCCTGCCATCCCTCGTGTCCCCTGGTGGCCCCTGCTGTCCCCTGCTGTCCCCCCGTGCCCCCTCTTCTCCCCTGCTGCTCTCCACTGCCCCCCTGGCGCTGCTTGCGGGCCTCTGCCGTCTCCTGCCGCCCCACTGGGGCTCCCCAGTGTCCTGCTGCGCCCTGCAGGTCCCCCCTCAATAACCCCTCGCTGTCCCCCCCCCCCCCCGCCCCCTTGTCCCCTGCAATCCCCTCGCGTCCCCTGGTTCCCCTCGCTCTCCCCGGCTGCCCCGCCGTGCGCCCCGCTGCTCCGTGCTGGGCCCTGGTGCTCCCTGCTGACCCTTTGCTGTGCCATGCCGCCCGGTGGTGCTTCCCGGTCTGATGTCGTTCCATGCTGTCCTCCAGCGTATACCGAGTTCACCGGGAACGAAGCTACCACAAACAACGGGAACATCACGGAAAAACGCACACACAGCATGAAACACACGCGCCGATAGCACAGGCAACTCTTAAATCTCAATCGAGACCGAAAGCGCAGAAAACTCAGAAAAGGGAAAACTTGATGGGGGAGGAGAGAGGAAGGAGGAAATGATGTAGGAATCAGCGGATGAGGGAGGATGAGAGCGAAGAGGATGGAAAATGGATGAGGGGGAGGGTAGACGAGGGGAGGATGGAGAGGGAGGAAATGTGGCGGATGAATGAAAAAGGCGGCTGGAAGGCGGATGTATATATTCCGACTTGCCGCCCGCATATTACATATACATCTATCTTTCCATCGATCTACATATCTATCAATATATCTAATTACAGATCCCTCTATATATAATCTTTCTATCTATACATATGTGTATGCATGTAAGTGTGCATGTGTGTATGTGTGTGTGCGTGTATATCCACTCAAAGAAACCCGAAATGTGCCTCGAGGATTTGGGAGGGGGGGGGGGCCCTAGGGGCCAAAGCGGTCCCACAGCGGCCCCAGAGGCCCCACACATCGCCTTCAGCCCCCCAAGAGGCCCCCCAAACGGCCAAAGACGGCTCCAAAGATCACCCTCGATGCCCGAAAAGCCTCCGAAACTCCCTCAGAGAGCTCCAAGGGGGCCCTCAGGAGGGCCCCATCAAGCAAACATCATCACACATCCTTCGGGAAACTGACATGTTAAGCAGAGTATTAGTTTACTGTTTGAAGCGTCCAAGACGGCCCCAGAGGCTTCAAATATCGCCCCAAGAGGGCCCCAAGATGGCTCCATCCCAAACAACGGCCCAAGAGAGGCCCAAGACGGCCCAAGAGGACCCTAAGAGAGGCACACTATTGGGCCCAATACAACCCAAGATGGCCCCAAGGCGGCCCAAGAGGCGCCCAAGATGGCCCAAGAAAGACGGTCCAAGAGGAACCCTGCACGGTCCAAGAGTGTCCCGATAGGCCCCCAAGACGCCCAGAAGAGCACCCTAGGGGCCACCAAACGGCCCCCCAGAGGCTTCAAAACTGCCTTTCATGACTCGTTTCCGATGAGTCTGCGGGGGATCCCCGATCTCCGATCGATCGGAGATGAGTCCAGAGAGGGTCTCTGATCTCCGATCGACTGGAGGTGGGCCCGTGGGGATGGTATTCTAGGAAGGCCTTGCGCCTCGAAGGGTCGCGGGTTTCCGACAAGGCGTGTGTGTGTGTGTTCCTCGAAGCTGGTGCCATTATTCGGCGGCGAGCGAAGGGGGAAGTGAGAAGGAGAAGGCCCTCTCAGAAAGACGCGGGACTTCTCAGAAACCCTCCGGCCGTTTCGAAAAATGCTTTACGTCTTCGGGGAAGGTTTAGACAACTTCTCAGAAGGCAGGAAGACGCCCGAGCCTTCTGTGAAGGCCCGCCCCTTCTCACTTCCCCCCCACGCTCGCCGCCGAATTGTGATTGCAAACTCGGATGAAACGGCGATGCTGCATGATGTTTCTCCAATGATTCGAAGGCGTCTGAATTTCGACTGCGGACGGCCTCCTGTCGGTAGGGTCTGTTAGGATGCCGACGCACCCCCCTTTTATATATATATATATATATATATCAGAGTGAGGGGGCCGAACGGTCATTCACTATCCCTGGGTGCGTGGCTGACGTGGAATTCCGCGGTGCGGATTCTAGTTGTTGTTTGTTGTTGTTTGTTGTCGTCGTCCCACCCGCAACCCGCCGCGCGACCCACCCCCGACCCACCCCGCGACCCACCCCGCGACCCACCCCGCGACCCACCCCGCTAGGCTGGCTTCCCGGCCCCCCCAAAACTAATAAGGATTTTGGCGGATTTTGGCCCTCGAAGACCCTGGAGTACGCGGCAACCCGCGGCAACCTCAACGGCATGGCTGTTGCGAGGCGTCTGCGCGGCAGCAGCGTCCAACGACGCGGATCGATCGCGGCCCTCGCGCGTAATCTGCGTTGCCCCAGCAAGGAGGCAGCGTGGCATATGCAGGGAAACAGCGCTCATACAGCATGGCAACAGCCAGGCGTCCGCATGGCAAGTGCATGGCCGTAGCTCGGCCACTGAACGACATACGTTAGGCAACCGCGTAGCAGTAGCACGGCAAACACACGGCAATCGGAAGGCGCTCGCACGGCAACACTACTGCAATCGCACGACAGTGGCATGGCAACTGCACGGCAACTGCATGGCAACACCGTGGCGACAACATGGCAACAGCATGGCAACGGCATGGCAAGCGCATGGCAACAGCATGGCAACAGCATGGCAACGGCATGGCAACAGCGTGGCAACTGCATGGCAACGGCATGGCAAGCGCATGGCAACAACATGGCAACAGCATGGCTTCAGCATGGCAACGGCACGGCCACGGCATGGCAAGCGCATGGCAAGCGCATGGCAACAGCATGGCAACAGCACGGCCTCGGCATGACAACGATATGGCAAGCGCATGGCAACAGCATGGCAACAGCATGGCAACAGCATGGCCACGGCATGGCAATAGCATGGCAACAGCACGGCCAGGGCATGGCAACGACATGGCAAGCCCATGGCAACTGCATGGCAACGGCATGGCAACGGCATGGGAATGGCGTGGCAAGCGCATGGCAACAACATGGCAACAGCATGGCAACATCATGGCAACAGCGTAGCAACAGCATGGCAACAGCAAGGCAACGGCATGGCAAGCGCGTGGCAACAGCATGGCAACAGCTTGGCAACGGCATGGCATCAGCGCGGCCACGGC